AAAAAAAACCCTTGAGCCCAATATAGAAAAGAGAATTGCGGATGATCCGTGGGGAAGAATATCTGACGATTGTGAACAGCCAAGCCGAGTTTACGGTTGAACAGGCTTTTTTTTTTGGAAGTTTTAATAAAACACTTCCGGTACTGTTCACTTTTAACGAAAAACTACATTTTTACCTTTACCTGTCACTATTCACTATCCCTTTAAAAATGACTTTTCATTAAAATGGAGGTTTTTTTGGACTTTTCGTTAGTTTTCCTTTTTTTTTTTTGTGGTATGAGAGAGTAGATTGTTCAATGTATGAAGCACAACGGTCACACGTGCTCTATGTCACTCAATATGTGTTATCCACATGTTAGGTTTCAAAATTCTCCACACCTGAAAGAGCATGTTGATAGTGCATCCGACATTAGAAAAATGAGGAATCTTACATGTACTTACAAATAATTTGACTACTCTTCGTAACTACAACTTTCTTTACGTGCACATAGGTCAAACACATAAAAGCTCTTTGCAATAGTGATGTTGAAAACAACTATTTACATCGTGTTTGGGAACGGTGAGAAAACACATAACAAAAATGTTATTCATTTACAAATGGTTAATGCTAGGGAAGTAAAAAATTTTAACTAAAATTTGCAAACCAAATTATGTTTCACCAATAGGAAATAAACATATTAATCAACACTTAAGTAACAATTCAATCATCAACAATCATATCATTTGGTTTACAAAATTTAATTTAAAAATTTGGTCTCCTTATCATTACCATTTTTACGAATATATAAATAAAAGTTTGTTGCAATTTGACGGTCTTTAAAAGGTAAACGAAACACCTATTTACAATAGATATTGCAAACCTGATTTTGATGTAGTTAATTTACTAAACAAACAATCCTTTGGGAGAAAGGAAAAAAAAAAAAAAACCCTTTAAACATCCTCCTGAACTAAACATCCCCTCAAAAGGAGGGTATATAGTTCAAAAATAATTAACCAAATACAAAACTAAAACCTTCATTTCCCACATAATCATTAGCATTCTTAAACTCAATGCTATAAACAAATTAATACTATATGCTACAATGCATACTTCTGCTTGGTATATATTAAGAAGTATTGAGAGTTAAATTGGTAGCTAGCCTTTCAAAGTATGACTTGTTCAACCCTATAACTTCATAGGAGAATTCTCGAAATACACCGACATTCAATGCTATTAGATCCTTAATGGTTGGATCCTTTATTGTACATTCATTCGATGTAATGCCATACATCGAAACATAGTATAATTTTCACTCCTTGAGACCTAGTCTTTCCACGGTAGCTAGTAAATAGTTTCCCAAATCTATAAACAACAACAACAACAACAACAAAGCCTTTTCCCACTAAGTGGGGTCGGCTATATGAATCCTAGAACGCCATTGCGCTCGGTTTTGTGTCATGTCCTCCGTTAGATCCAAGTACTCTAAGTCTTTTCTTAGGGTCTCTTCCAAAGTTTTCCTAGGTCTTCCTCTACCCCTTCGGCCATGAACCTCTGTCCCGTAGTCACATCTTCGAACCGGAGCGTCAGTTGGCCTTCTTTGCACATGTCCAAACCACTGTAACCGATTTTCTCTCATCTTTCCTTCAATTTCGGCTACTCCTAATTTACCTCGGATATCCTCATTCCTAATCTTATCCTTTCTCGTGTGCCCACACATCCAACGAAGCATCCTTATCTCCGCTACACCAATTTTGTGTACGTGTTGATGCTTCACCGCCCAACATTCTGTGCCATACAGCATCGCCGGCCTTATGGCCGTCCTATAAAATTTTCCCTTGAGCTTCAGTGGCCTACAACAGTCACACAACACGCCGGATGCACTCTTCCACTTCATCCATCTAGCTTGTATTCTATGGTTGAGATCTCCATCTAAATCTCCGTTCTTTTGCAAGATAGATCTTAGGTACCAAAAACGGTCACTCTTTGGTATTTCCTAATCTCCGATCTTCACCCCTAACTCATTTTGGCATCCGTTTGCACTGAACTTGCACTCCATATATTCTGTCTTTGATCGGCTTAGGCGAAGACCTTTAGATTCCAACACTTCTCTCCAAAGGTTAAGCTTTGCATTTACCCCAACCTGAGTTTCATCTATCAACACTATATCGTTTACGAAAAGCATACACCAAGGAATATCATCATGAATATGTCCTGTTAACTCATCCATTACCAACGCAAAAAGGTAAGGACTTAAGGATTGTTGATGCACAAAATCAGTGAGGACTTTGGTACAACAGAAAGTATTAAGTTTGTGATCTTCACTAGATTGCTCCGGTCATTAGTGTGGAAAAGTATGTAAATGGATAGAGACAGGAAAGCAAACACAAGATGTATGTGGTTCACCCAGATTGGCTACGTCCACGGAGTAGAGGAGTTCTCATTAATTGTGAAGGGTTTACACAAGTACATAGGTTCAAGCTCTCCTTTAGTGAGTACAAGTGAATGATTTAGTACAAATGGCATTAGGAAATATTGTGGGAGGATGATCTCGTAATCACGAAACTTCTAAGTACCGAAGTGTGGTATCTTCTTCACTTGCCTTATCTGTCTCATAGGTAAATGTGGCATCCTCTCTGGAAGTACTCTTCCTCCATCCAGGGGTGGTATCTTTAACTGGTGGAGATGCACAAGGTAATGTATCAATTTCACTTGAAACTTACTTGTAGTTTCAGGCTTGGTCAAGCACGATACAAACCATGTAGTAGGAGTCCCCCAAGTCGCCGAGCTAGGGGATCTGCTGAAAGAGGTGATAGACAAGGTAAGCAATCAGAGCTCCAAGCAATCAGTCCCAGATCAGAAGTTTGATATCGAGTTCCGGCTTATTGTTCTCATTCTCCCTATCTTGCAGGTAGCATGAAGGATAAAGAGAAGAAAAATGAGAAAAGATGATATGAGATACTTTTGCTTTTGAAGAAGTAACTTTCCACAGGCTTATTCTTGAACTGGGCTAGAGGGTTTTCTGGTTTCCTCTAGAGTATAAGGCCGACTGAAGAATTTGAGGGTCAAAACAAGTCCATCAAATCTAGAGTATGTGCGACCCTGCTGATATGGGATACTTTTGCTGTTGACAAAGTAGTGGATGTATCGGTACGTGTTCTGTTACGCTTGTCTTCACATGCTTCCTTGTATCCTTCTCACTTGCCCTATCTGTTCCTTAGGCAGATGTGGTATCTTCTCTGGAAGCATAAGATGTTGAAGATGAGTACTCGAGAGCAATGCCAGGTAAGTAATCAGGTAAGGGGTACTAGACGGTCAGTTCCTGACTGGAAGCTTGATTCCAAGTGCTGACTGATTGCTCTTTTTCTCCTTGTCTTGCAGGTAAGAACAAGGCCAAAGGAAAAAACATTTTCCTAAGATTGATTCCAAGTGCTGACGGTTGAATTGTATGGTTTCAGAATCAACGATATTCATCTCATCTTTCAGTGGTACTATAACGATGGACATTTTCCTAAGATTGGCTGATCCAACAAGATCACTCAAAGGACAATCATAGTTCGAAGCCTTGACTAATGTCTGCAAATTTCCAAGAGTAGCCAATGGCAAGACTCTCTTCTCTGCTGCTCTGAAACTTCTAGCTGGTAAATATAAGTGTCTCAATTGTCCCAAATGTCGAATCACATTGTGCAGATTTCTGAAACTCCTTTTCATCTCTTTAAGCTTGTAGCAACGTAAATCTAGAGTTTGCAAACATACCAACTTAGACATAGATGATGGAAATCGTGTTACGAAACAACCCTTCAGACTGAAAAACCTCAAGTGCACTAGATTCCCAATTGTGCTCGGTAGCTCTACTCTTCCAAACTCTTCCAAACTCAAAACTCTAAGCAATTTGAAATTCTGGAACTGGAACCGTGGTCGAATTGGTTTTGGTCGAATTGGTCTTGCATACCGTAGAAGCAATGTGATAGACAGCTCACGTGACTTAAAGTATAACAAAGACCTAAGTTGACCATCTGTTGGGGGAGTTAATATATCACCTATTTTGTAATAGATGACATGTCTTCGAACTTTACCACTTGGTGATACCGGGGTCGCCCTGCCAAAATCTGAAATATGGAAAAAATTCTCATGTTTCGCCTTTAACAAGCACAGATCTCGCATAAGATCATGGAGGAAAAAATTCTCCTGTTCCTGATTTTGATGTAGTTAATTTACTAAACAAACAAGCCTTTGGGAGAAAGGAAAAAAAAAAAAAAAACCCTTTAAACATCCTCCTGAACTAAACATCCCCTCAAAAGGAGGGTATATAGTTCAAAAATAATTAACCAAATACAAAACTTAAAACCTTCATTTCCCACATAATCATTAGCATTCTTAAACTCAATGCTATAAACAAATTAATACTATATGCTACAATGCATACTTCTGCTTGGTATATATTAAGAAGTATTGAGAGTTAAATTGGTAGCTAGCTTTCAAAGTATGACTTGTTCAACCCTATAACTTCATAGGAGAATTCTCGAAATACACCAACATTCAATGCTATTAGATCCTTGATTGTTGGATCCTTTATTGTACATTCATTCGATGTAATGCCATACACCGAAACATAGTATAATTTTCACTCCTTGAGACCTAGTCTTTCCACGGTAGCTAGTAAATAGTTTCCCAAATCTATAAACATTCAAGGAATTTTTTGACATTTTAGTATGAGATTGTAGTTAGTTAATGCATGACGAAGAAAAAAAAAACACTACGGGTAACTGTGGGTACTAAAATATTCCAGCTCTCAATTCTTATAGCTGAGTCAGCCAACAGGATCCGCATCGTCGCAGCCAAATCCTGAGATTGTTTCCAAGTCCTAAAGATCTGCATTTGTCATTTAGTATTTTTCTGACTCCATGCACATTAATTTTCTATAATTATAGAATCCCTAAAAATCAAATAAAAAAATTCTTGAAACTTAGAGAGAGAGAGAGAGAGAGAGAGAGAGAGAGAGCGAGAGAGAGAGAGATTATACAAATAACAGTCATTTTATCACTTAATGACTAAGAGAAGACAATCAATCAATTCACTAATAGAGTAGTCTCTTATGCGAACAATATTGATGTGCATCAGGGGCGACAGGTCAACTGGTAGATCAAAGTCGCTCCTAATACACACTTTTTGAGTCCGCACCTTAGAATGTCCATTCACTGGTAACTACATGTGTTCTTCAAAGCAATGGGCACATTCATCTTCTTAGAATCCATAACCACCGAGCACTCGACCTTCTTGTAGAACTTGGGCTTCACCAATTTTCCCAGAACATAAGCTCTCGACCTCACCGTGAACCTGAGTGCGAACGGCACTGGTTGAGTGGGTGCACCATTTAAGCTGCCCAAGTTTGCTCCCCCACCGTACAGTGGAATTCTATTTCCTACTAATGTTATTGTAATGGATCTCTGACTCTTTCTCGCCTGGTAAAAGTTATTTATCTGCAAAACCCAATAAACAAATTCATCAAAGAAAAAATGTGGATAATATATTAAAATTTTAATTAAAAATGGTTAGGGTTTCTTACAGTTCCAGTGGCTACAGAGAGTTGAGAGTAGGAGAGATCCAGAGGTGTTGATTTCACATGGACACCGAAAAATGTAGCAGAGTTACGAAGGGTGAGCTTCACTGTGGAATTCATGGACACCATGCTGGTGGCCACTCCTGAGAAATCCTCACCAGCTTGCACCACAAATTGATCAAATAGAATGCTCTGCATGTAACACATTTTCAAACCAAATTTATGAAAAAGATAAAACAAATTAAAAAAAAAAAAAAAAAAAAAACCCTTGTTAATAATTTTTCTCACTAAAAAAATGAAAATATATAGAGTTATACCGGACACCAATTTTTGTTAATGAAACGTAGGCAAATTATCGACCAAATAATGACTAAAAAGCCGACCGAAATTGCGGACAAAAACCCGATTAACAAATTTCAATCTTAATCCCTTTTCCCCAAAAGAAGAAATAGAGTGTAATTGACTGATATCGAGCACCAATCTACAGTTCATGAAGTGGTTATTGACGAAATGTACACAAAATATTGACTAATGATATTATGATCAGATAGAGTAGATTGATACTCGAAAGGACGATCTTTAGCATGCAAAACTTATATACCTTCATAGTGATGATGGGCTTCTGGGATCGACTTGCACCCCACAGTATCAAAGAAAAGAGAGAGAAAAGCACAAGGAATCCCCCAATAAAAGCAAGGAAGTAACACCTACGAGTGAGACCATGAGGGTTTCCATCCTCATCGAGAAGCCCTTCTTCTTCAATGGAACCAAACTGATCTTTCCATGGCCTCCAACCCTTGCGGCGGGAACCGCTACTGCGGCTGCTCTTGCTGCGGGAGCCGGAGAAACGAGTGGAGGCGGACTCCCGAGAGTGAGGACCAAGAGAAGAGTTGGAGTGGGAGTGAGGGGGTGAGCCCATAGGGCTGCGGACGGGGCTGGAGTTGAAGGAGTTGGTGGTCTTTTCGCCATCATGCGAATCGCGCGATGGACTCTGGACGTAGTAGACTGCGCGGCGCGGTGAGCGCGCCGGAGAGGACTGGCTGAGGCTGCTCACCTCGGAGTCAGTCTTGGCCAACACTGACATTGTTGTATTTTTGATAGATTATTTTCTCACGGATGAAGACTGCTCAAGCTTTTTGATTTTGTTGTTTATGAAGTAGTTTTGGGTAGGGAGTACTCTGCATGAAACAGGTTTATTATATTGTTTCAGTTTAATAATACAATGTACCGCCGGTGAACATATTTTATGTAAGTCCTTTTGGTATTAGAATCTCTGGAACGTACGTTGTAAGGTGCTGCACGTTGTGTTTTGTTTAGTTTACTGTTTTCTGTATCGTGTTTATATGAAGGTAATTAATAGGGGAGTGGACTTGACAGTGTGCACTGCCATTTTGCTAATTTCTAGTATTAAAGTATGAATTTTGTATGGGGTATTTTATAGTCCTTCACCTACTTCTTGCGTTGGAGAGAATTGATTGAAACGTGTTTCCAGGTCATGCAATATTTATGTTTGTCTAACAACATAAATAATTATGATTCTAGATCATGCAATATTTATTTATGTTGTTAGACCAATACTTATATTGCGAAGTTATGATTTTTAATTATCTTAGTCAAAACGAGTAATATAGTGCGGTATGTTTTTTTTCTTTTTGGTCGGGTTTAAATCTTCGACAGGTCTTATCAAGACCATTGTATGCACACTATCCTCCTATTTGTACATATTCTCTTTCAATCAATGAACGAAATCAAGTATCACTTTGGAGTAGAAAACATTTTCCATTAGTAGCTTAAACCTACCTAGCCTAATTTTATCACTAACCCTAGCACCTAGGAAGCTCCACGCACCTCAATATTTGTATCCGAGTTTGTGCTAAGTTATTAGATAGTCTAACCAAAAAACATTTCACTCAAATCCAAATCGAAAAAGGTTTAACCGAGCTTTATTTTGTTAATGCTATTCAAAGAAGTTCTATCAGATCTTGTAGGAATGGAGTAATTGAAGTGTTTAGGAAGTGGCTAGGAAATTAGGAATGTCGGTGGAGGCCATTTGTTTAAGAAACTATGTGTTGCCTAAGTTTAATGCCTTGGGCTGAAAATCCGATACAGCAGTGCATCAAGACACCCATTTTATGGTGAGTTCTTGTAGTCTTCACGACTGTAGTCAAAAGACACTTGCATCATCTACTTCCCAAATATAGGCCCAATGTCTAGTAAAAAAGTCACAAACATGTGGTTTCAGTTAGGGTATCTGAGATCAAAGAGAAGAACAAAGTGAAAAAAGAGTTGAAAAGAGTTGGAATTATAAACGTTTAATATTGAGAAACCGATTAACGCACTCTTTTTTACCTTGAATTTTTTTTTCCTTTTTTATTTTTCAAAAAAATGTTTGAGCCATTGGATTGAAGAAATCAATTGACAAAATCAAAATTGGAGAGTGTAGAAAGATAAAACAGCAAGGCAAAAATTATTTCTTTTATTTTAATCATACTGTTAGGTCCAACATCTAGGGGGCTTGCCAGGAGGTTACTGTTAGCATCTATGATGGGATTTTGTGCATTGTCTAATAGATTGACTGTGGTCATGAGGGCTGGTGAATTGCGGCAGGGCTCTAATCAGGGTGTCCTTGTTTGATGAGAGCAACCACACCTGCCACTTGAGGCGCAGCCGTTGAAGTGCCTGATACAACATTAAATTTGTTGAACAAAGAGCCTGACTGAACTTGTGCCACTGAATTATTTGAGGTCTATGCCACCAAGACTAATGAACCAGAGGCTAGAATGTCCGGCTTTAACACACTCGGGCAGCTCGAAATGGCCCTTTAGAGCAATAATTGTCTACTTTTTATACCTATAAATGCTGCTGGAAACAAGCTTTAAGCGTGTTGATCATGAGTCAATATTTGGAAAAAAGGAATGTAAATAATAGGAGTCCTTTTTAAGTAGGTTTGTATTAAAGCTTTTGTTTCCTTGTGGAACTTAGATTGTACATGTATATATTTCAGAACAAGTAATACAAGAAAATATTCCGTAAAAGTTCTATTTGGTATCAAGAGCAGGCCGAAACCCTAGTACGTTCCGCTGTGCGTGGGTGCCTGCGTTTTTTCTGCAAATTTTCTGCAGAAAACAGTGTGGGCCGTGAGTGTGTTTTTGGCTGTGTGTGAGCCGACTTCTCTACACAGTTTTTTTGTCTGTGTGGTGTGGTTGCGTGTACGTAGTATCGTGTTGATTTTGTGTTGATTTGGTGATTTGGTGAGCAACACCGAATGGACTCAGGAGGCAGTGGCGTGATGCGGTTAGAGGGCAGTAACTCAACCAATAATCAAGTCGTGAATCCTATCGTTATTCAGAGTGATGCGTCTGTTGTACCCAATACCGTGAAGTTAAATGGATCAAATTATCCTCTTTGGTCCAAGGTTTTGGAGATGCACATCGCTGGACGCGGTAGAAAGGGCTTTGTGACTGGGAGTACCAAGGAGCCTGCTGAGACTAGTGCTGAGTATGAGACGTGGGAGACAGGGAATGCAATAGTAAAAGGGTGGTTGATCAACTCCATGGAACCTACTATTATGGGTTTTTTCATTCACCTACGTACTGCTAAAGAAGTGTGGGAAGAGGTAGCTCGGACCTATTATGATGGGTCAGATATTTCTCAGATTTATGAATTAAAGGTTAAATCGTTCAGACTCCGTCAAGAGGGTCGGCCAGTTGGTGTGTATTATGCTGATCTCAAGTCCGTTTGGCAGGAGTTAGATCAGCGGAGACCAATCCAGATAGTATGTGCAGTGGACCTCAAGACGCTTCGAGAAGAAATTCAGATTGATCGTGTGTACGCCTTTTTGGCAGGATTGGATGATGTGTTTGATAAAGTGCGTAGTGATATTTTACGTACTCAACCTTTACCTTCTGTTGAAGAGGTGTTTTCTGTTGTTCGACGTGAAGCTCAACGACATGCTACCATGATGGGTGGAAGTAACAATCAATGAGGGTTGCCGTCCATGGCAATGATCTCTCGGCCAGCTGGTACAAATCGTTCTAGTAATTCTTCTAATCAATCTTTAAATTCTCGTCCCTTCAACCGAGAAAATAAAGATGATTTGAAGTGTAATTTCTGTGGACAAACCCGTCATACTGAGGATACATGCTTTGCTAAGCATGGGGTGCCTGATTGGTTCCCAGAGTTAAAGAAAAAATTGCGTGCCAAGGAGCGTGGAGCAGCCGGGTCCAGTGGAGGCCGTGCCTCCCTTGCTGCGGCTACACCCACTGTTCAGAAAGCCGTGCCTAGCCCCAGTGACTCTGGTCAGAATTTGTTGACTCGTACTCAGGGTGCCTCGTCGTCCGACACAGGTACCATGGGACATGTTCTCTTAGCCTCCGAGAAACAGCACCATACAGGTTGGATTCTGGACTCTGGGGCAACGGATCATATGACATATGATAAAAATATGTTTCAATACATGACTACATCTCACATGAAAATATATCAACTGCCAATGGTACTTTGGCACCCGTGTGTGGTGCCGGCACTGTGCATCTCACCCCGTCACTTTCCTTACATCATTGCTTGCTTGTTCCGTCTTTATCCCATCACCTATTATCCATACCACAGGTTACTGAACAATTGGATTGTGTTGTTCTAATGTATCCGTCTTTTTGTCTACTCCAGGATATTCAGACCAAGGAGATAATTGGGCGTGGCACTAAGAGAGAGGGGTTGTACTACGTGGACGACGTCGTTTCTGGAAGAGCAAATGCAGTTCGCGCGTCCCGGTCTAGTAATTTACAAGCAGTGTGGTTGTTGCATCGTCGGTTAGGCCATGCATCTTTTGGGTATTTAAGGCATATGTTACCTAGTTTATTTAGTGGAATAAATGAATCAGACTTACATTGTGAAGTATGTATTCTTGCTAAAAGCCATCGTGCTTCTTTTCCGCCTAGTATGAATAAAAGAGCTTTACCGTTTGAACTTGTGCATTCTGATGTTTGGGGACCATCTCCGGTTGTTACTTCTTCTGGGATTAAGTGGTTTGTTACGTTTGTTGATGATTGCACTCGTATGACGTGGCTATATGTGTTAAAAAATAAGAGTGATGTTGGTATGGTATTTCGGAATTTTTCTCAAATGCTTCGGACCCAATACTTCTCTGTGATTAAAGTTCTTCGTTCTGATAATGGTGGTGAATATATTAATCGTGAGTTGTCAGAGTTTCTTGGTGATCAAGGCATTCTCCATGAAACAACCTGCCCCTATACTCCACAGCAAAATGGGGTGGCTGAACGGAAAAATCGCCATATCTTAGAAACGGCACGTGCACTACTTCTGGGTGCTTCTGTTCCTAAGGTTTTTTGGCCTGAAGCTGTTACTTATGCCGTCTACGTGATTAATCGTATGCCTTCTCGGGTGGTTAATTTTCAAACTCCTTTTCAAGTCCTCACTCAACATGTTCCTGTGGTGTCTTCTCATACTCTCCAACCCCGGGTCTTTGGGTGTGTGGCGTATGTGCATATTCAGAAAATTCATCGCACTAAGTTGGATCCATGTGCACTTCGCTGTGTGTTTGTTGGTTTCTCCTCTCACCAAAAAGGATATAAATGTTATCACCCTGCGACTCATATGTATGTTACCATGGATGTGACCTTCTCTGAATCAGAGTATTTTTATGCTCCCGTATCTTCATCTTCAGATCACCAGGGGGAGAGCTCTAGTGATGATCTGAAATGGTTGGACTTGGAAGGAATCCCTGTGGTTGATGCCGTGCATAATGGGGCAGTGATCATACATGCCGAGAATGATAAATCTGCAATTGTTGCCGCGAGCAGCATGCAGTCAGAACCGGTTCCAGATGAGAGTGACCCCGAGAGTGATAAATCTCCAACAGTTGTCGAGAGCAGCCTGCAGACTGTTGCCGAGAGTAGCATGCAGTCAGGACAGGTTGTTGACGAGCCTACAAATATACCCCCCTCTCTCTCTAGCTCCACAGTGCTGCCCAATGAATCTTCTCTGGATATACCTGAGGTAAGTATTGTGGATGATTATGTAACTAATACAAGTAATGATGTAAATACATATAAGCTGCCACCCAGACAAAATCGGGGTGTGCCACCTAACAGGTTTTCTCCGGAAGGCAAGGTGAAGTATCCAATAGCCAACTATGTCTCATGCAATGGTCTTGCACCAGAGCGCAAGACTTTGGTGGACAATATGGAGGCTACTCGAGTACCAACCCGTGTGGAGGAGGCTCTAAAGGATCAAAAATGGGCAAACGCAATGGATGAAGAAATGTTGGCGCTACAGAAGAATAATACATGGGAGGTGACGTCTTTACCAGAGGGAAAAAAAACAGTTGGCTGTCGCTGGGTGTTCACTGTCAAATACAAAGCCAATGGATCAATCGACAGGTACAAAGCAAGGTTGGTAGCTAAAGGATACACCCAAACATATGGTGTAGATTATCAAGAAACGTTCTATCCGGTTGCCAAGATGAATACAGTACGAGTTCTGATATCTTTAGCTGCTATTATGAACTGGCCATTAAAACAGTTTGATGTGAAAAATGCCTTTCTTCATGGGAACTTGGAGGAAGAAGTATATATGGACTTTCCTCCTGGGTACAGTACTGGTAGAAGTACCGGAGTATGTCGGTTGCGTAAGTCTCTTTATGGGCTTAAGCAATCGCCTCGTGCATGGTTTGATAAGTTTACTCAAGTTATGAAAAAGATTGGGTATTACCAAAGTCATTCTGATCATATATTGTTTGTCAAACGGAGACAAGAAAAAGTGACGGCCTTAATCATCTATGTAGATGACATGATTATTACTGGGGATGATTGTGATGAGATTTCAAGGCTGCAGAGAAATCTTGCGGCTGAGTTTGAAATGAAGAACCTAGGGGATTTGAAGTATTTTCTTGGAGTCGAAGTTGGTCGATCTTCGGAAGGTATTTTCTTGTCACAACGTAAGTATGTTTTGGATTTGTTAAAAGAAACTGGTATGCTGGGATGTAAGCCAGTTGATACTCCTATTGTTGAAAAACATCATCTATGTTTTGGATCCGAATCAGAAATCGGTTGATAAGGGGAGATATCAGAGACTTGTAGGGAGACTAATTTATTTGGCTCATACACGACCAGATATTGCCTATGCAGTAAGTGTAGTAAGTCAATTTATGCATTCACCGAGTGAAGATCATATGGCTGCTGTTATGCGTATCTTAGCTTATTTAAAGTCTGCACCTGGAAAAGGAGTTCTCTATCGGAAGCATGGACATTTGAGGATTGAGGGGTTCACGGATGCTGATTGGGCAGGAAGTGTAGGTGACAGACGGTCTACTTCGGGATATTTTACTTTTGTAGGAGGCAATTTAGTCACATGGAGAAGTAAAAAACAGAAGGTGGTGTCAAGATCCTCAGCTGAGGCCGAGTTTCGAGGGATGGCTCACGGCATTTGTGAGCTTCTCTGGCTTCGAAAACTTCTTGAGGGGCTTGGGTTCAAGCCAAAGGAGACCATGAGACTATACTGTGATAATAAGTCAGCGAGAGATATAGCTGATAATCCGGTACAGCATGATAGAACAAAACATGTGGAAGTTGATCTATATTTTATTAAAGAGAAACTTGAAAGGAATATTGTATCGATCCCGTTTGTGAGTTCAGATGAGCAACTTGTAGATGTTCTAACTCATGCAGTATGTAGTCGAAAGTTTGATGACTCACTTGTCAAGTTGGGCATGTGTGATATCTATGCACCAACTTGAGGGGGAGTGTTGATCATGAGTCAATATTAGGAAAAAAGGAATGTAAATAATAGGAGTCCTTTTTAAGTAGGTTTGTATTAAAGCTTTTGTTTCCTTGTGGAACTTAGATTGTACATGTATATATTTCAGAACAAGTAATACAAGAAAATATTCCGTAAAAGTTCTATTAAGCGTAGTAATCTGACAAGGTGAAATTTGTAACGAAGACAGCTCCTGAGACTTTTGCAGAGTTACATTTTCAACTTCATCACTTATGCTCAAATTGTCTTTTGCACACAACAATCTTGTTCTTGAGTTTCTTCAGTTCCATCACACTTTGACATATGTGAGCAAAAACAATCGACAATTTGCTTCTAGAGGAGTTGAGTGCATACAAGGTAGTGAAGGTGATTTGAACACCATTTCCTAAAAGGTAGGTTAAAATTCCCCAAAATTCGCAGTATGTCATGCTTACGCCTACTATCGCTGCCCATGGTGCTCCATTTAGTAATGTTTCATAGGCAGGGCCATCATTTCTTGTTGAAGCTGCAACAGAAGAGATTGACATTGTGTCATCATCCAAAAAATGGTCATCTAAAGTATGTCCTAAGGAGATTGATAATATATACACCACCTCATCTATTCAAGCCCTAGCGTCGCAACTCTATGCCAATACCGTAGCCAAAATAGGATGCACCTTTTACATCCTGACCTGCTGCAGTGAAGGCAGAGTGAGTTCTATGTCCATCTGTATCGTGGGGTGAGTTCATCGTGATGGTCTCCTCGGATTGTTGTTAATGTAGCCTTTGTTGAAAAACCTAGCTCCAATGAATTTCTTGTTTCATAAGGAAGAATTGAATTGGGTGCCGGACAGACACACACTTGCTTTTCCATTTAGAATGGATTCAGTCATTCATTCATCCTTGAAGCTCTCACTCTCAAGCCAAACTCTGGTGTCAAGTAAACCAATTATGACACATTCGCCATAATTTAAAGCATGTCAGGCACTGGAAGAAGAAGTGAGGCCAAGGAACTAGGAAGTGTGGGTAGTGTGGAGTTTGAGAGGGATAACAGGGCAAAAGAAACAAAGCCATGGGACTCTTTAAGGGCTTCAAGCTCGTACAGTGTGAGAACTACACTAAAGCCTTGGATGGAATAAGTATGGATGAGCTTTGTGGTACTAGTAGAAGATTTAGCATTGTCTGAGATGGATGAAAGTGTGCCCAAATACCACCCTTCGTGGCCGAAAAGGG